TTTGATTCTAATACTTTTGCGCATGGCACGAACTATAATCATGATTTTACAACAAACATTCGATTTATTATTCACAAAAAAGTAACAAATTTTTTAGGAAAAAATATTAATTTTTTTTTTAATGCCACCATTTTTACAAATTTCAAGTAATTGACATTATTTTAGTTCATGCCATAATGACACTCATACAGTTAATAAAAATGAAAAAAATTTTGATTTCAGATGGTTTGCAGAGTCAATATTACTTCCGTCATGGAGACGTGTTTTGCAGACCTCTAATTCAATTGCCATTTGGAGACATTAAAATGCATATTCATCTAATTAAAAAATATTTTTTTTATTGCTTAAGCATAACATAATTTTATGCAAAATCCCGTATTGTTTTGTATATAATGAATTTTCTTTAAAAAATTCATAAAACTAAACTAATTTTACGGCCGGCAAAGGTGAAACCCCTCTTAATAATTTGTTCTATTACTGTCTGTAACTTTCTCAGATGAACGATGAATCTACAACAATACCACAATTAATACTGCGACAATACTGCCTGAAGAAAAAATAGAAACTTTAACTTCAAAACTTTCATTAAATTTGTGTAAGCAAATTACATTACCAATCATGTTTATTTGCTCGGTAAGCAAGCTAAATGCTTTGTCAACTGTCTTCCACCATGCATTCAAATGCGTATTTTCTAAATTGGAAATTTTACAGAAATTTTTGCATCTTGCGAGAGCAATAGATTGTTTTATAAACTGTACAATTGCAATCTGAGAATTATTTATAATGTTTTATCGTTTGTAATTTGTATGGAATGATACAAAAGTAGCTAATCGTCAAATGAAATTAATTTATTTTGATAGATATAAATATATAAAGAAATAAAAATAATTTTATATTGTATATATAATTTATATTATTATGAAAACTATTTTTTTAGAATAGAATAGTAGAAACTGATCGTTACCTCAATTGTAGTTCAAAATACATACTCGGGTGATAAATCGCCGGTACCGCGATGCGATTACGATGCAGACACGCAATCATCACCGCGCATTGAAGAAACCGCCATTTTTCGTCATCAATCGACAATGAGAATGGGAAAAACGTCAAGGAATCATATGGATACCTTCATTCATGGATCTTACGAATAATTACATTGATGTCTCTCTTAATTTCCCATACCTTTCCTTCATATCAAATATTGACTTTTCCCTGAATTTGATTCAAAGAGAACGTTTAACGATTCACCTAGTCCGAGCCACGTGATTGCACGTGCCTTGTCTTCCATCCTTTTCTCGTCTCTCCCACCTCCGCTACTATTATTCTTTCTTTCTTTCCAAGCATATATTTATGTTGTCTTTCACGATTTATTCCAAGGAACACGATTTATTCTAAGACACAAGATCCGAAAAAGTCACTTTCGAGGTCTCCTTTCGCAATTTCAGTATATTTATCCATTTTCTTTCTTTTCCCCTTCTGCAGTCGCATCAATTCGTCTCTCTCTCTCTCTCTCTCTCTCTCTCTCTCTCTCTATCTATCTATCTATCTCTCTCCGTCGACGCAGCCAAGCAGTAGCAAAGCAGTATCTTCTGCTCGTTGGATCAGAGACATCAGAGTGAGACACAGTGGCGGATAACGCGCGAGTGTGAAACGTTTTGAGAAGAAGTCTCCCCCAAGATGTATTCCAAGACCATCAGCAATCATCAGGCGAATAAGGAGCACGTGCTCGCCGTGTCCCGGGATTTCGTCGCGCAGCCTCGTCTCAGTAAGTAGCGTCCACGTCGATGATGACGAGATGGAGACGCTCCGATACGTAGGGCATCCGCGATTGGGCGTAGCATCTGATCGATTCCCCAACGTGGAGTCAGCTGATCTGACTTGAAATTCTGTCTGCATCTTTTTTCGACAATTTTTCACGCGCAGCCCTGAGGGATGAGATTGCCTTCGTCCTCCCACGGGTTTGCGAACCTACAAGGGGGAGAGGGGTGGAGAGACAATTTCCCGAAGACGCGGGACTCACGGGTTTTATCGTTCTCGAAGTTCCCTCGAGCTGCCAGCATCATGTGACCACGAGCGACAACTCGTGTTTTGCTTAAGTGGCCGTCGTGGCCACGTATTTTTGATTGCTCCTTTTAAGTATTTTTAAAAAGTCTAGAATGGTCTGAAGAGAATTTTTTTATCTTTGGGCATAAGAAAATAATTTTCCGAAATGTTGTTTTCCTTAAATGAAAGGTACTTAAATATTCCCGTGATATTTTCACCTATGGGCGTAACCTCATTAGTACTGACAGTATTCGGGAAATTATGATATAATACAGTTTGAAGGAAATATAAACGCTGAACAAATATTGAACAATATGTGGATATTATGCAATATGTTTAAAATAGTTTTGACAATTATGAATTAATAAAGGCTTTTTAATGGAGAAGGATGTAAATAGAATTATATTCTTAGAATTATTTTTGGAAAAGGTTTAGTTTATTAATATAATAAAAGATGTTTATTGCCATATGTACATTTTTATGTATTGCTTTTATATAAATTTATACCTCAATTTTATATGTCTAAGATAAATATAAAGTTAACAATAATTGTTTTTTTCTTTTAGCTTATAAAACAGTATCTGGAGTAAATGGTCCATTAGTGATATTGGATGAAGTAAAATTTCCAAAGTTTGCTGAAATTGTACAATTGAAGCTCGCTGATGGCTCCCTACGTTCCGGTCAAGTTTTGGAGGTCTCTGGCTCCAAAGCGGTGGTCCAAGTTTTCGAGGGTACATCTGGCATTGATGCAAAGAACACTCACTGTGAATTCACTGGTGACATTCTGCGAACCCCGGTGTCCGAGGATATGTTGGGCCGTGTTTTCAATGGCTCGGGAAAACCGATTGATAAGGGACCACCTATCCTTGCAGAGGATTATTTGGACATTCAAGGACAGCCTATTAATCCGTGGTCTCGTATCTACCCAGAGGAAATGATTCAAACTGGAATATCAGCCATTGACGTTATGAACTCTATTGCTCGTGGCCAAAAGATTCCCATCTTCTCCGCTGCTGGTCTGCCGCATAACGAAGTATATCTTTTTGTTGCTTGCTTTTAATTCGCAGAAGGATATATATGTACATCTCCTATGGGATATGTATATCTATAGGACATATACATTTCCTAAAATTGAATTAAATTTTTTGTGATACAAAGTTTGGCATTCTAAAACCAAAAGATTTCACCCTCCAATTCTTACTTTACAGATTGCCGCGCAAATCTGTCGTCAAGCAGGTCTTGTAAAATTGCCTGGTAAATCAGTTCTCGATTCTCATGAGGACAACTTTGCCATCGTGTTCGCAGCTATGGGTGTCAATATGGAGACTGCACGTTTTTTCAAACAGGACTTCGAAGAGAATGGCTCTATGGAGAATGTGTGCCTGTTTTTGAATCTGGCCAACGATCCGACGATCGAGAGAATCATCACGCCTCGTCTTGCCCTAACGGCGGCCGAATTTCTGGCGTATCAATGTGAGAAACATGTGCTAGTTATTCTCACGGATATGTCCTCATATGCTGAGGCGTTGCGTGAGGTCTCAGCCGCTCGTGAAGAGGTACCAGGTAGACGTGGTTTCCCTGGCTATATGTACACCGATCTCGCCACGATCTACGAGCGTGCCGGCCGTGTGGAGGGACGCAATGGCTCCATCACGCAAATCCCAATTCTTACTATGCCGAACGATGATATCACTCACCCAATTCCCGATCTTACCGGATATATCACTGAGGGCCAAATCTACGTCGATCGTCAGCTGTACAATAGGCAGATCTATCCACCCGTGAATGTGTTGCCGTCTTTGTCGCGTCTTATGAAATCCGCCATTGGCGAGGGTATGACACGAAAGGATCACTCCGATGTGTCCAATCAATTGGTGAGTTGATGTAAATTACGAAAAAAGTTATAAGAATGTTTTTAATATATGAAATAAAATGATAATATACTTTTTCACAGTTCTCTTTTCTATAACTATTCTAAAAATACCTGTTCGTAATGTACCTGTTTTTTTATAATTATAAAAGATATATTTATCTTTCAGTATGCGTGTTACGCTATTGGAAAAGACGTCCAGGCGATGAAAGCCGTCGTCGGAGAAGAGGCGTTGACGCCAGATGATCTGTTATACTTGGAATTCCTATCGAAGTTTGAGAAAAACTTTATCTCGCAAGGCAGCTACGAAAATCGCACGGTCTTTGAATCATTGGACATTGGCTGGCAGCTTTTGCGAATCTTCCCTAAGGAGATGCTTAAGCGAATCCCAGCCAGTACCCTCGCGGAATTCTATCCGAGAGATTCCCGACATTAATCGTTTTATTTCTTTCGCCTTAAGCGTAAGCTTATTTTAATGGAATTGCGCGTACGTCCGATTTATCTTCTCTTCGACATTAAAACACTCCTGTATCTGCAAAAAAGATCGATGTAACGTGATAAGAGAATGATTAAAGAGAATAGTAAAATGGTATATACGTTATCAGATAATAAAGGAAAAAAGGAAGGAGTAACGCGCCTTTGTTGCAGATTAAAAAATATTAACGTTACAAGCTTACAGGATCGTATATCGTTTTTGATGTTGTGCAATGAGAGTGTAAAATGGATAGTAATGATATTAATATATAAAGTAAAGAAAAATTACAAACAATTTATGAGCTTGCATGTGAAAGTTGCAAGTTGCAGATCCAAGGTTATCTCTGATATGTTATCTCTGGAATCTATTATATTATAAACTCTGAATATAATATTGTTTCAATATTTGAGGATGTATTTTGCTTTAGAGCTACTGCTCACTCACGCCAAGCAATTATTGTAAAGTGTAATATATCTTACAGTATTAACGTAGACGAAAAGCATAGAGGAATCCTTGATTACATTGTATTTGTGCATTCCCAACATTCCACAACGAAATTCACATGTATAAGATTCTTTGCGTTTGAATCAATCTGAAGGAAAGATGTTTAACACAATATGTACAGTTATCTCTAGAGAATGTTTTGAGCGAAATATCGTCGTGTATTGTCTTGTAAAAGACAGACCTGTATATGTTAGAAATAGAGAATTAAAGGAGAATTGTTGTCTTTAAAACCGTTTATTTAATTTTTTTATACCAATATTAAATTTCCTTATTTATACATTCGTAATTAGTGAACATCGTTTTTGTTAAATTCATAAATTTTGGCAGTGTTCAGATTAAAAGAAAAGTGTACAGATTGAGAAAGCATCTTTGTTTAACAATAGCTACAATTCTCGTTTAATATTATTAAATATCGATTAAAATCGAAAAAATTATCTAAATTAAAAAATAAATAACAATAAATAAAGGGCAAAGTAAGAGTCAAACACATTTTTTAAATTGTCACACAATTAAAAAGAATAAATTAAAAATAATGAAAAGTAAAATTGAAAAAAATAATAAAAAATTTAATTTAAATTCAAATATAAAACGTTACAAGTTTCGGCTACCGGATTGAGCCCTCTTTAGACATTAACTTATCACAAAAATCGCTATACAAAATTAAATTTGAATTTAAACTAAGTTTTTTATTTTTTTTTCAATTTTACTTTTATTTGTGATTTATTCTTTTTAATTGTGTGACAATTTAAAAAATGTTTTTGACTTTTACTTTGTCCTTTATTTATTGTTATTTATTTTATAAATGAAGAGTCCTTCTATCTGTTAAATAAATTTAAAAAACTATCTAAATTAATAACGAGGACAGATAAATTTTAATTTCTTTAGATTTAAATCTGCCGCTTTAACTACGATGAAAGATGGAACATGTGTATTATGTCGCAGCACATTATTTTTTGAAAACGCTGATTGGCTGTCCGGATAGTTAATCGGCGAAAATCTATGGCTAGAATTATCAGATTGGTCGCGTTCAAGTTGACAAAGCGGTTAACGTGCTCGTCGAACAAACGAACATAATTGGTTGTTACTTATAGATCCAACCAATCATATTCAATCGCTCGGCAAGCATGCTTTGCCGTCTTGAATTTGCCCATTGATTGAATTTGAAATGATTTGAAAAAGATGTTTAATCTCTTTACCGGTTCGCGCTATTTCTATCAGCAATAAATAATGAAGTAAGCGAGCTGATTTTCAAATAAAATGAGTGCTTGAACGCGTGAGATGGTAATAATTTGTAGGATACTTATATTTTTCTTACCTTTAACGTGTTATTTTTGGAAATTTCGGTTCAGTAAATGGGGAATAGGGTTATGTGAACTATGTTATATGTTTATAACTTGTATTTTATTGATAAAATAATTCAGAATGAAAGAAAGAAAGAAAGCCAAGTGTGTCTATCCAATCGTCTAACCAAAATCCATGTTTTTTAATAACGTGATGGAGTTGTTAAGTAAGAATAAAATAGATTATATATTTGTATCTTGTACTTATATAATGTATCTCTTTTTTTTGTATGTACGCAAGATTCGATCATTGGCTCCTAGTCAAAGGGGAAAGCGGCCTTTGCTTTTGGATGTACCACATGACATTGTAGAATTAACTCAGTCTGAAAATTATATACAAGAGTCCAAAAGAAGAACCAAGAATGTCAAAGATATACAAATACCGGAACGCAAAGCTGTTCCTCTTTCTGATAATGATATCTGCACGATGCAAAAAATAGTATCCGAGCACGTAAGTTTACTTATAAACCATTACAATCTTTGTTTTATACCTTTATTCATTTCATTGCTGTAATGAAGTAACATATGATATTGGATTAGGAAGAGAGAGTAAGAAAACTTCTCAGTAAACCTTTTCAAATACCAATACCTGGTTACCAATTATCTGGACGAGTTCTTGGATTACGTCTACCAGGACCACGTAGGCCATTACATGATCCCGACGAACCCAATGCATTAATTGTTTATTCACCACCAGAATTATCAGAGCATGATAGACTGAAAGTAGATCCGTATGTATTAATGTATTTCTAAATATATACATATATTTTATACTTCTTATAGTACAGTTTATGTTTATATTCATATATTTTAAGATCAATTTTTATATATATATATATAATTTTTGCAGATGTAAGCAACTTGTACATGTAGTTGTAGATCCTGTATTGTGCAATGTATTACGACCGCATCAACGTGAAGGTGTAAAATTTATGTATGAGTGTGTAACAGGCAAACGTATAGAAAATGCATATGGCTGCATCATGGCAGATGAAATGGGACTTGGTAAAACACTGCAATGCATAACTCTGTTATGGACATTGTTGAAGCAGGGTAAAATGTTTAAAATTGACAAAATTAGAAAATAGAAGGAATAATATAATCAAAAAATATTTGTATTCTGTGTAGGTCCAGAGACTAAACCACTAATAGAGAAAGCAATTATAGTCGCGCCTAGCTCTTTGGTGAAAAATTGGTATAACGAAATTAACAAATGGTTGAATAATATGGTCAATACTCTTGCTATCGATGGAGGGAAGAAAGCAGACATTGATACGCAACTCATCCGTTTCATGAAAACTTATGGCAGATGCGTAACTCCCATTCTCATTATAAGTTATGAAACGTTTCGTTTACATGCACACGTTCTGCATCAAGATGAAGTGGGCCTTGTATTGTGTGATGAAGGTCACCGTTTAAAAAATTCTGAAAATCAAACATATCAATCCTTGATGGGTTTGAGAGCTAAAAGAAGAGTGTTGCTTAGCGGAACGCCTATACAAAATGACCTTTTGGAATATTTTTCCCTCGTACATTTTGTTAATCAAGGATTATTGGGAACTGCACAGGTAAACAATTATCGTCACATTTATAAGGTAGACAATTATCGTCTATTATCATATTATACTAGCATATTATTATTTTAATGATATATAGACATGATATATAGATTTATATCACTGAAATTATTCTTTCAGGAATTTCGAAGAAAATATGAGACGCCCATATTACGTGGCCAAGACGCGGCTGCAACAGACGCGGAACGTACACTCGCTCAAGAACGTTTGGCTGATTTAGTATCTATTGTTAATAAATGTCTGATTAGACGTACTAGCGCTTTACTTTCGAAATATTTACCATTGAAGCACGAACTCGTGGTATGCATAAAGATGGGAGAGTTGCAAACACAGCTATATAAGAATTTCATACAAAGCGATAGTATAAAAAGATCTATGGAAGGTATGAATTTAATTCGTTAAATAACAATCTTTAAAATAAAAAGTAATGTCTTGCCAGTATTATATAATGAAACGTATGAAATATATATATATATATATTTTATATTCTCTTAATATATAGAGAATGATAATCCAAAGAAAACAGGCAGTCTGTCTGCTTTAGCAGCCATAACTCTCTTAAAGAAGCTGTGCAATCATCCCGACTTGATATATGACAAAATTAAGGAAAAGGCAGACGGATTCGAAAAAGCTGCATCATTGTTACCATCAAATTATTCTACAAAGTAAGATTAATTTACTTGTTGAAAAAAACGCATCACTAGATAAACGAGAAATTTTTGTTTTAGAGAACTGATGCCAGAATTATCAGGCAAACTGATGGTTTTAGATTGCCTACTAGCGTCTATTAAAACTACAAGCAATGACAAAATAGTACTTGTATCCAATTATACGCAGACTCTCGATTTGTTTGAGAAACTCTGTCATAAACGTTCCTATAATTATGTGAGGCTCGACGGGACGATGACGATTAAGAAGAGAGCGAAAGTAGTCGACAATTTTAACAGTGACAGCAGCAATGATTTTATCTTTATGCTCAGTTCGAAAGCCGGTGGATGTGGTTTAAATCTTATAGGTGCGAATCGTCTCGTCATGTTCGATCCAGATTGGAATCCTGCAAACGATGACCAAGCGATGGCCAGAGTGTGGAGAGATGGTCAGAAGAAACCGTGCTTCGTTTATCGTTTTCTTTCTGTTAGTATTAGAATAACAGTATTTTTATCAATAAGTAATGAAAATATTTTCTTAGTAATATAAAAGTTGTATATTTATTTATAAATAATTAAATCGATAATATACATATTAAACGATGTAATATGTTTTATACTTCCAGACTGGAACGATAGAGGAGAAAATTTTTCAGAGACAAGCCCATAAAAAAGCATTGAGTTCCACGGTGGTCGACCAAGAGGACGACGTGGCGAGACATTTCACCATAAACGATTTGCGCGATTTATTCAAGTTGGAGCAGAATACTGTTTCTGATACGCATGCAAAGTATGAAATCGCCAAAATTATTGTTTTAAAATTATTTGCATATATATCTGAAACAAGAGTAATACTATTATTCTTATTTAGGTTCAAATGCAAACGTTGTGTTAATGGCATCGAGGTGAAAGGGCCTTCGGAGCAATCCGATTGCAATTCCGATCTGTCCGACTGGCGACACTCACATAATCCACGGCATTTGCCAGATATACCGTTACGACAATGTTGGGCTAGCGGTATTTCGTTCGTTTTCCATCATCGTTCACATGAACAAGTAAAATGACTCTTGTCTAATGACAATCTGTTAGTAATTTGTTTCGAAATTTTACATAATTATAAGAGTTAGATATTGCAAACATTGATAAGAAATATTGTAACTGTAACAAATTATCTTGTTAAGACAATTTGTTAAGACAATTTGTTAAGACATTTATTTAAGCAAAGTTAGTTTTTCTTTCTTGAAAATAAAAACGTAACAACCCGGAATTTTACTTTAATACATCTTTTTTTTTTAAATACACGCTTATTGTATTCGTAATTCAATTGATTTTGTAAAAATGGTCGCGCAAAACATGCTTTGCAAAAACGCAGATACAATTTATGTCAATATAAATGTGCCTTACATTTTGTGTAAATAAGTTAGTTATGTTTATGTAAAAAAAAAAATAATTTTGGATAAAAATAAGAGATACATTTTTAATGAACCTTTTTCCAGATGTAAATGTATAAACTTTGAAACACAATATAGTATTTAAGATGTTATTAATAAGAAATATTTCATTTATATACGAAAATTAAAAATATTTTTGTAAATACTTATTTGTAATACATATATGTTTATCAAAGTGAATAAAAGAGTAAATATAAGATGTTCACAATAATTTT